GCACTCTGAGCACGACATTTTTTCTATGATCCCTTTTTTGCAAATAATTTTTGGTAAAAAAAGTTAATAACTCCAATGGACCAGATGCCTCTATATCTATGGACCGCACCAGTCATTGTGGTACACACTGTATACGCGTGTAATAGAATAATATAATATTATTAACGATTACGGCGCTCATCACGGCCTTTATAATAAACATTTATGTACAATATAATATAATTTACTATTATATTATACTACAACCGAACAAAAATGATGTATAGTATGCGACATCGGCTACATAGCGGCCTTCTTCTCCTTTCCACTATATACAATACACATTACCTTTGACATCATAATCCCAGAAGTATAGTCCCAAGTAGAAGACATAATATAATAATATAGGTAAGATAGTTTTATCGAAATCCGATCTGGACCGTGGTGCATGTATACATATTTATAATAATAATATTTTCCAATATCGCGGCCATTAAATATGAATTATCCTTCGGTCCATCAATCCTTGAACGAGCAATAGCAATGCGGTTGTTGCGCAATGTATTTATAATATAATATGAATCAACACTTGTAATTAATGCGCGCGCGGGTTAAGTTCGAATTACGCCTAAGACATACATAATATTATGTTTACATACATTACAAGTTATATGTTATAAAAATCAAGTACATACATCATATAGGTAGTCCAAACATTATACTTGTGCGATACATTTGAATGTATGTATGATTATAATTTATAACTGTCTTCATATGCGTAACCTTCCCCCAAACGCTGAGGAAATAATTTCTAATTGGCTTTGTACTTGAATAAATATTATTATTTTTGAAAAAATGAAAATATAGTCGAGTCAACTTAACTCACATATTATCTGGTCGTCAATCGACCAATTTTTTTGTATATGCAACCAAAGGAACTATTCGAATTACATTTTTTTAGAAAATAATAGTTTTATTAGTTTTAAGACCATCCCCGGACCCCGACTTCTCTTTAGGAAGCGGTAAGGATTTAGTAGTAATTGAGTAATCGGTTATTGAGTTAACGCAGGTCCAAGCAGTTGAAATTAACTTTAACTTGTTAACGCGTTAATTTCCAGCCTCGGTGAATAATCCCAATTTCGGCTGAATATAGTAGTCCTGTAGTCCAACGGTTCTTTCCTCCGGGCAAACCCACAGTTTACATACATGTAACATTTACCACAGCGGTATACCTATACTGATAATACATGAGACTCATCAGCGTCGTCCGGTGACGGGCAAATAACCGTAATTTCTGTTATCTTTAATCGTAATGGTATAGGTACGTCGTATATGCGCTTACACGAAGATTTCGAAGTTAAGAGAGAACATAACATAAAAAAAAAAAGGTTTTTTATCCCTTCCAGCGACGGTTTACTTACTACCCCCCACACACATGCCGTCTCACCGCAGGGTGATGGATTTTAATTGCAATAGGTACCACGACCGGGTACCCTGAATATAATACAACACGGTCGCCATGGGCACGACCTACCCGGTAACATTATAGAAAAGAGGTCTTAGTAGGTAACCGTGCACCATGTTATTATAGGGGTATAGGTATAGACACTAGACGTGCGGACGAGGTTTAAGGGACACGCGAGATTGGAGATACGTCATAAGCGTTATGACGGTTTTATTATCGATAATACACACATGTTGTTTTTGGCGCGCAGGGGACACCTTACATATAGCGGTTGATGAACTTACTGTTACGGGACGAGTTAAAAGGAAGGAAAAAGTGAAATAAAACAACATAATATTATTACTACACATAGTGAACGTGAATATTAGCTGCATTTAAAACCAGTTCCGATACACCGAGACACGGTTCGTTATATTAGTGTCATAAACGTTAAACGGTTCTACATTATTATAACAGTAGCAATCATGTTAGATTCAACGGGCAACCAGAGCTAACCACGTACTGTGGTTTTGTCTCAATCAATACACTGATGCGGATGGACATGCCGCTGTATATATATATTGAGAAAGACGAGACAGACAAGCGAACTGTACACGATATGCGACGGTTTATTATTACAATTATATAATAATTAAAAAAGATACACCTGTGTAAAACGACAAGCGTCTGATGGCCGGTAAATGGATGTAAAAATAGCTTATACTTTCAGATGCTGATGGATTGCGCCTCGTTAAACGGTTATTTTATAGTGACAAAGCTAAAATTACACACATCATGACATTTAAGTACATAATATTTGACTACATAATACAAACAATGAGAGCATGCTATAACGGACACACAATTGAACATCGTATAGGCACTAATAGAACATCCAAATATGTATGCACCCACAACGGAATAATTATTCGGGTCACTTCTTTTACTTTCTTCTACGCCTCCTCTTCCTCAAAAACAGCCATTCGTTTTGAGAAATTACCAAAAAAACCGACCGATAATAGCTGATATCGTTTTAAAGGAATGTCGGTGGAGATTTTAACGAGTTTCTCTGCACGTGTGAATTGTTACTATATTATAACATATTATGTATTTATAACAATATATAATATTATAATTGTGCGATGGGCGACGACGCACGGGCCATTTCGACAACAGTTAATAACACAATTAATATACACACCAATATAAAACATTTTACCACAAGCTCCTAATTATCTAGGAATGTGTATACCTACACGAGTATAACAACATACGGATATATTATTATACCTACGTGTACATAAAACGCTTATTAATGTCTTGATATTGTTGTCAGACAATAGTGCAACAAACAGCGACCTAGTGTAACGTAGCCCGCGGTAACGATTTGGAAATATTATATTCCAAAGATATTGTTCACACGAAAAAACCCAATACCGAATACGCTCAACTTTGTGGGAAATGTATACAACACGTCTAAAATAATATAGTTTAAACGAATGAATATATTATTACAAAATAACGGTAGATTGTGCAATTACTAATTCATTTCAACTAAAATAACGGTCGGTCGATATCAAATGTATAACTGCAGTTTTTTTTAATGAGCTTAATAATAATATGATAGTCGGTTAATCCACTTAGTGCACTACTTGCAGTCAGCAGCAATGATGTGTCTTATGCCGATCGACTCTTTTGCTGTGAGATAATTGCCCTCAGGCTTAGAAGTGATACAGGTTATGTTTTAAGTCACACGATTAGAGCATTAAACATGTAAACTTCTGTATTGCCTTAGTGTCGAATGTCGTCCTGATAGATTATATCATAATGTTTTCCAACATGTAAAAAAATCCGTTCATTTCTGACATGCCAACATCTTGGCGTTTGCTTAGGTTCAAATTATTGTCTAGCGACGGCCCTGGTTTTGGTAGATATTGGATAATGCTATAATGTAAAACAGTTTACTTAACCTTCGCTCGTTTAATTTTTTCGTGAGAATAATTCGCACGCACGCATTTCATAAAACTCAAACCTAATTTCAATCTCAAGGTCTATTAAATGTATTAAACCCACGTATTGTGTGCTATAATATAGGTATCTTCAAAGAATCTCGAAAAAACACTATTATGTAAAATGTAAATAGATAATTAATAGATTCCAGGAATATTATTGAATTATTCATATAGACATTCCCACACAAGTTCTAAACGATTTCGGTAAATTTGTTAAACATTTTGGCATGTAATCTTAAGTAAAATTGTCAGCGGCACACAATCTTCAATCCTGTTAGAATAGATTTCCTCCTCGTGCCTTTTTTTTCTTTTTTAAAATGCGTTCCAAATATTGACATATACTTGTTGATAGTTGATACTTGCCGAATACATATTTCATAGTCTAAAGCATTCAAAACTTGTGAATCGCTATTGAAAATTGAAAAGACATAGCAAAATCTGGAAAGAAATTAATTCAGTGATTAAAATTTAATTATTTGGTAGGTTAGGTTAACATTTTTAATTTCGTTGTCATATTATATCAAAAACAACTAGAGAACCCCCACAATATTTTATGATATCTGTATAAGTACATCTATCATATGATAATATTAGTATAATTCCATAACTGTTTCCTTGTGAGATTTGCAATTATTTTCTATCTTTTTCGAATAATGAATTCTAGGATTTTTTTTCCTACTTCTTGTTTAGGTTGTTCAGTCTTCCAGAAATGATATTCCAATTCTATTGCCTTCTTACACTTTTTTTCCGTTTCCTATTATCTTTATAATATCTATGCCATATTTTCGGTCCAGTTCCTTGTAAGTTTGTGAGATAAAGACCTCTCTCTCGCTCAGTCCGTTTATTTACAGGTTTAGATAAGAATACATAAAGAAAAACAAAATGTATATTAGTGGTTATGTTTAGTGCCGCGTTACGTAACGATTAACGTTTACGTTTGTATTTTAAGCTAAAAAAAAATGTATACATCTAATAAATAGTTGTTTATTTCTATTACAACAACAGCAGGAACGTCGAATACAAGGAATACTCAACAGGCTTTTAGTTGTGCGCCGCCGCCGCCGCCGCGGTTTCGGTATGCGGTCACCCTATAGCCTATCTCGCGTGTACCTATATTACCTGCCTACGTTTGCGGCGAGGAATCCGACGTAGTCCGCAGAGGCAAACGCGCACCTCGGCCCTCGGGGCATCGCGGGTCCTGCGCCGCCGATACACCTTCTACCGCACCATCCCCACCGCACCGCAGTCGCCACCCCCACCATTACTCGTCGACGGACCGCAGCAGCCGAGTCCGCACCGCCGTCGACGGACGGACGGCCGGCCGGCCGGCTAACCGCGTAGGAGTGTCCGAACGTGTGCGCGCGCGAGAGAGAGAGAGAGAGACGCCGACGAAGGATACGGACGTCGAACAAAGAAGGTAGATGTAACCGCCGCCGCCATCGCAGTACACCGAGACAGAGAGCGCGGCGGCGCACAACACACTCACACACACACACACATGGCGCGCATATACACAACACACACACACACAAGAAAGCTAAAGACGGTGCGCGCGCGCGCGATTCCTAAATAAGAATCCGACCAGTGCCATACGGACGTAGAATGCACCACACGTATAATACGGCCGCCGCTGCCTGTTGCTCCGTAGCCGTATGAACGAACGTTGTATTTTATAAAGTTACAGTATTTTTTTTTTCAAAGTATAATATTCGTCACGACCTCCGTTGGCCGTTGGATCGTTTCGGTATTGTTTCGTTTGTCGATATTTGATCTAGCTACCGGTTTTCAAGACGGACGTGTATGCGCACGCGGACCGGCCGACTAATACTATTGGACCTGTACGAGAGGGGAGAAGCAAGCGAAAAAACTGGTATTGTTAATTACTACTTTACGCTTAACATGTTTGCTTTAATTTGCAAGACGGAAATTAACACTGCGCGACGCGGTCGCACGCGTGCGACTGATAAGACGAATGCATTTTGACCGGTGCGAACGCGACGACGACTGACGGATAGGCGGGCAGACAGACCGAAGAAACCTGTTGTTCGGCGCGGTCGTTTCCGACGGAACCTGCTGGGGAGGACGGCCCTGCCGGTGATATTACGCTCGATAACGGCGGCACACGAAAAACAGGTTCTGGCCGGCCGGCCGTGCGCGCGCGGTGGCTTTTGCGAAGGGGTCGCACGTGGCCGAAAATCCGGACCGGATCCGGAACCGCGGCGTGAACGGTAGCGGGGACGACACACCTGTTGGGACGACTCCCTCCGGCCCTCGGCTCGCTCTAGTATGGGTTTAATATTTATATATACACTATAACCGGCATTTACTACACGGCTATGCCGGTCAACAGCCGTAGATCTATTATACCGCGGGACGGATAGTGTACACGAAAAGTGAACGTTCAGCGATACGCGATAGGGTTAATCTCCACGTCGTCGAGCTCGATAACCGGACTAGACTTATACTGGTACTACTACCTTAGGAGGGGTGGACATGCCTATGTCTGTCGGTCGTAGGACAACGATTTTTGAGAATCCCTGCGGTCGATTTGGAAAATGCGAATATGCCAAAAAAAATAATAAAAATGCACGGACGGCGTTGTTGTTGGCTCCACTGGGTATGCCAGTTGTTGGCTCGAGATACTTCCGACACCGCGGCGGTGACCTTGAGCCTGTCGTGTGCGTGTGTGCACGAGCACAATGCACCATTAACTTCTCCCGTACCTACTATTACTATAACTACCCGGCGGCCGTTTTTGTTTTCATCCCGAGCCAAATTCACTGGAAGTCGTCACACGAAACTGCCAATGACCATTAAAATTTGGCACTCCTTTTTTTTAATTTTCGTGGGGGGTGATTTCGTTGCAGTATGATGTTCGGACGTTTTGTTGTACACAAACAAATAACAATAGTTGACAATATTATGTTTTTAAACGTCCGACCAGCGTTTATCATCAAACCGAAGCCAAAGGCAACGGGCCGCGGTCGGTTAGGTGTGCTCGAAATAACCACTATCACATAAAGGTGATCGAGTCCGGTATATTATTTTAGTCCCGCACTTGTCTCGACAATAATAAAACTCGTTAAATCTATTTTCGATGAAACTTCAAAGCCTCCGTTACAGTTATCATTATTATGTTTATCAACAAATCCGACAATCGACCCGCACCATGTGTAGATTGTCATATTATTGCGATTACCATTTACCTATGTGTGTGTACATACATGCGTGTATTGTGTGTACTCGGCCAAAGCCCGTCACGGTCCGCGTTCAGTTCCGCCTATATAGTAGCACACGGGTAAATAATTAGCACTTTCTTAGCATAGACGCGTAGTGTGTATAATAATAATAATTGCATGTGTATTTTTGTAATTAAGAACATTTTCATATCCGTCGACAGCACCGAAACAATAACAACACTAAACCAAACGGCGGGTACCTTGTGTATATTCTTCTTATCGGCGCTATTCTTATCCTTCCAAAATCCACTTCCGCCCCGTCCGAGCTATTATTTTTCCTTGGACGATTTGCCATTGCAGCGGTGTCGACCGTTTAGCAACTTGCCCCGATCAAAATATTATAATAATATGTACATATTTCTGGCGAACGCGCGTTCTCTTTTATCGACTAGACGTTTATTCGGTTTGGCAGTTCGTGTCGTACAATCAACAGCGGCACACACAATGTGTTTTATGCGTGTACACCGCATTCATATATCTATATTGTCTATTATTGTGTATTAATCACACGAAACGTCGCTCGCGGTACTTTCACTCGTCTGTGTGTAATTGTCGTGTTTCTTCGGTTGTAGGTATAGTTTGTGCGCGTCAATAGGCTTGTGTCGTGTATAGTATAGTATAGTATAGTGCGTGCGGATCATCCGCCGGCTTGTAACAGGTGCAACAATAATATTTTATTTACTAATAACGGTTCGTATCTAGTCGATAATAGCCGCCTGCGTGTCGTTCCATGCCGAAATTGGCGGTACCAAAATAATTGTCCAGCATTCGTTTTCTTACTTGCAACACGTTGAGCGCGACAACCCAGCCTCCTTGGCTCTGTCGAGGACTTAAATTGTCCCAAAATGAAGCTCCTCGAGCGTTCAAAAAATTGTTTTCTGTTGGTATTATGATGAACTGATGCGGTAAACCGTGATTGGCGTTCATTAAATTTATTTATGCATTTTCAGCACTACCTAAATACCTATTAATAATAACTCGACTAGCAAGAGTGTACGAGGGACACGGTTAACAAGTGTTGTCAACAGAACATTTTTCTATGTGTATTATTTTTACAATTTTTCGACAATAATTATTGTTGGTAAACAAACGAAAATAACGGTTTCGGTTTTGATCGCTGTCATAGATTCGGTTATTGGTCTATTTAAGAAGGATAGTCACGGGTTTGCAGTGATAACGGAATGAGGTCCATTATAATAATATGCCGGTGAATTTTCAACAAGGCAAAAATCAAATCATTACCGTTTTTGAACCGTCCAATATATATATCAAGTATCGGCTGTATGACGTTATCTGTTGTGGGTTTCACTCTCGACGCGGTAATCGACGTTTTTATATTTTACAAAAACCGATTGGAGACTTAACGACGATGACGATCCACACGGCCGTAATACCCGTAATGAATGAAATGGTCACGTTAATACGTCTTGTGTGTGTGTACACGCAATGGGAATTCAAACAACGGGCGGCTTTTAAAAATTACATCCAATATGTTTTAAATAAGCGATTAGAGTTAATAGGAGAGCACGCATTATTAAATGCGTTCTAATGGCCGGCCGCGAGTAAACGTTAACTACCGCACGGATAATAATAGGTAACGTGAAAGCGAATTTTTCGACGTTTTAAGGACGCCGCGCATTTACCAATCTATGTAATATTTATACCATAAAAAAAAAAAAGAAAAATTTGAAAATAGATAATCTATATTGGGTAATTGTATTTAATTTATTCTGTTAACCATCATATAGTTAATTACTGCTGCGCTTGAACGAACAAAGGGGGCGGTCCTATATGCTTCAATGGTTCCATAAATATCATCAGTTTAATTATTAATTGATACATTTACTTAATAATATAAGAGCGCTCCTATTATTGTTTAATGTTATTCAACAAATAACTCTGCCGGTGCACTGTCAATATATTTCTACAGCGGTGTCCGGGTTTATCTTGGCCTCGATCGGCTCTTAAAATATCTATAACTCAACGTCTAGTGGTAAAATGGATTATGCTTTTTTCTTTCTATTCTGTTGTCCGTCGAGAGCTAAAATGAATCTGGACGTGTTACGTCAAGTTGTTGTTGATGTGTGTAGGTATATAGTCAGAAGACCGCAAGAGGTTAACCATTAAAACCGAACGATGATGAGTCGTCAATAGATGTGGCGTAGAGACTTGAACGCCATGCGAATCGGCGACGGCTTAATGCACTCGGTTATAAATTTTAATATTATAAACGCCAAATGAAAATCTACCGAATGGATTTGTTAGTTTTTTTGCGCTGTTCACGCTGTTACATTAGTGTTATCAGGCCCCGGTCACTGATAAAAAATACTGATATATTTATATATATATATATATATATATATATATATATATATATATATATATATATAATAAACTAGATTGCTAACATGTGAAGTGTACGTCATGCCGTCAATAGAGATAATTTAAGTTACCATTTTCCGTCACCTTTGTGGGAATTGGAACCATATCATATGAAAATATGATTACAAAAATTTAAAGCCAAGTGGACAACACAGAATCACAGATATATATATATATATATTATTTTATGCTCACGTAAATTCCACAAATATGGCGAACGTCGACGTCCATTCGTATAGTTAGCAATCTAGTTTATTTTACATATATACATGTGAACAAAAATAAACATGGGGAATATACTTTTCACACAAAAACGAAGCGGCCATATTCAATCATCATCTTCCATCATCGATTGTTTATCATTTTTGTTAATGGCCGTGTATATAATATTTATAATTTATTATGGCTATAGCAGGTTTAGAACATGGCCGCTACGCTTTTGTTTACATTGAAACTGTCCTTTCTGATTTCATTTATTCTGTGGTGTTATCGTCAACTTGTAGACTAGATTTATGTCAAACATAACGATAACCAAGAACCTAGGTTTATTTTCGAGGTACCAGTACACAAAGCCTATATTTTTTATTAAACGCCGATATTCGCTGTGTTTTTTCCATCATCTGTCGAGTGACGTCGGATTGCGTTTTCCACAGCCTCAATCTATCAATAACTAAAACATATGGTACGTACCGACTCGAGTATGAGTAAGGGCAAGTCGATGATTTTCATGGATCACGGTAGGAAAGAAATGACTTGTGTAATTTTAAATCTCTAGTATCATTGTCTCTATCTCTATTTTTTTATCTCTCTCTCTCGACGAGCCGCGTCCATCAGTTGTAACAGGTCGGTGGCGGCTACGGTGGTATTATTATAATCTCTATGGGCTATAGAGCAACCGTCTGCGGGGACCGTTCGCCTTTGTATAACATACAATATACTTGTGCGACGTTAACCCTCCGGCCGACGTTTTACAGATCCATTTTTTTGATTTTTATTGTTGTATTTTCGCGCCCATTCTTGCCGGCGAGTAATCTTCTTCTAGTAAATTAAAAAAAAAAAAAAATACTTTCGATTTTGTCGTACAAACCTATTTAGCGGAAACGCTGTATTGATTAATGCTGTTTTTTAAAAAAATAATAATAATTTTTTTTGGCGCCTAGGATAATGACATAAAAAAATTAATAGTTTTTTTAGCGCCCGTCATGCCGGCTAAACTTGGTTATTGTGTTTATCTCGTTTCCACGTGTGT